GCGCGGCGCGAGGTGAGCACGTGCAGCCCGGGGCGCGAGGCGAGCACGTGCAGCCCGGTCTCCCGGGGCAGTCGGAGCGGCAGCCCTGCGAGCGTGAGCGAGGCCACGGCGGCGTCGTCGCCGTCGTCGTCGGTTCGTCGTCGTCGCCGCCGTGGTCGGTCGCTGTTTCGTCGTCGACCGAGCGGCCTTCGGCGGCAGCGACAGGTCAGGGATGAATGGGCCAGTGGGGGTTGAGGGGTGCTACTGGCGATGGCTTCGATGAAGGTGGTGTTGCTGATGCGAATTGCTGGTGGTGATGGCGATGACGATGGCACCCGATGATGACATTTGTTTTGATGAAAATGGCAGTGATTCCGATGATGATGACGCGACAGTGTTTATCATGTTGATGATGATGCTGATGCTGCTGCTGCTGCTGCTGCTGCTGATGATGATGATGATGATGATGATGATGATGATGATGGATGCGATGGCGACGGCGAATACGTCGGTGATGATGTCGATGAGGTAGTGACGGACGAGGCGATCTCATGCCATACGCGTGCGCATTCCTCAATCTAGCATTACATACCACCCGCAGAGCAAGCACGACGGTATGTTGGGAGGAGGGAGGGGGGATGATGACGATAACGAGGGCAATGATGAGGATCGTGCGGATGCTGTGGCTGAGGATGGTAACGCTGATTATGAGGGTAGCTAATGAAGAGGGAGGGGGAATGGCATAAGTAAGTGTGGGCAGGAGAAAGGAGGAACATGAGGATGAGGAACGGGATGTCCGAAGGGACAAGATTTTGACGACAAGCATGAGGAGTATGAGGATTGAGGCGTGAAGGACAGGGATAGATGGAAGATGAGCAGGATGAGGGATAGGAGGAGGAGAGCTCTGCGGACGTGGTTGGTAGTGGCTGTTCTCCGTCATCGTTTTCGTAACGCGTTGCTACCTGGTGGCCGCGCAATGGAAACCAAGGGGATGAGTGAGCATCTCAGACGAGGGTCGGGAGGAACATGGCGGTGAAAGACGAACTAGGAAGATGGTACTAATGATTATGACAAGGGCAAAGACGATGATGATGAGGAGGAGGAGGAGGAAGAGGAGGAGGAGGAGGAGGAGGAGGACCACTGTAGACCCAAGACGCATCAACGACGATGCAATCAACTCTCCCTGTAAGGTCTATTTTCGTATGTCCGTACACGTGTTCTTCATTGCGGAAGGTGCACCATTCGAATACAACCGCTTGAGAACCATCATCTGACCCAAAACACCATTCTTGGTATTTCAACACCGCGAGCCGGTGTGATTATTGCGTCCGGGCATTCATACATCTCGCAAGAACAATGTTCTCGAGACTTCAGCATCACGAATCAAGGTGACCGTTACGTCCTGACAATCGGAAGTCGTTTCAGAGCACAATTCCTGGAACTTCAGCCATACGAATCCTTGACATTGCTGCTGACTTTTAAGACGAATGGTCGTGGCGCCCAGGCGAGAACCACGTTTCAAGAGGGACCGCCCTCCATGCTTGAACCAGTTGCCGTCTTTTGAGATGAATTTGTGCGGCGCCCAAACGAGAGCCACCCTTCGAAAACGGGCCGCTCTCCATCGTTGAATTTGTTCTACAGTTTTAAGATGAATGTGCGCGGCGCCCACGCGAGAGCCACCTTTTTGAAAACGACCCGCCCTCCATCCTTGAAGCTGTTGCAAACTTGTGAGGTGAATGTGCAAGGCGCTAAAGCGGGAGCCACACTTTGAAAATGCCCCGCCCTACATCTGTGAACTTGCTACAAACTTCGAGCTTCAGGACCATGAAGGGTGAAAGGGTGAGGAAGTCTCAGGCGATTTTTTTGACCCTCCCTACCAACAAGCCTGAGGATACGATAGGGAGGGCCTACTCTCAAGAGGCTTACGCGATTCCGCCAGCTCCGTTGAGAGGGCTCCGAGCTCTCTCGATTGGTGCCCTCTCGCGATCCGTTGGTGCCATCTTGGGCCGCCTTGGGGTCGATTTTGGGCTCTCTTGGATCGTTCTCGGGGTCGTATTGAGCCGTCTTGGGGCCCCCTCTTGGAGATTTCTTGGCCAGTGTGGCCTTCCGTGATGATGCCGATGATGATTATGATGCTGATGATGCTGATTATGATGATGATGATGACGACGATGATGCTGATGATGATGCTGATGATGCTGCTGATGCTGATGCTGATGCTGATGCTGATGCTGATGATGATGATGATGATGCTGATGATGATGATGATGCTGATGATGATGCTGATGATGCTGATGATGATGATGATGATGATGATGATGATGATGATGATGATGATGATGATGGTAGTGGTGGTGGTGATGCTGGTGATGGTATTCTGATGGGGACGCGGAGGAGGAAGAGCAGGAGTAATAGGAGGAGGAGGAGGAGGAGGAGGAGGAGGAGGAGGAGGAGGAGGAGGAGGAGGAGGAGGAGGAGGAGGAGAGGAGGAGGAGGAGGAGGAGGAGGAGGAGGAGGAGGAGAAGGAGGAGGAGGAGAAGGAAGAGGACGACGATGCTTCCGCCTTTTCGTTCCTTGATCTCTGGGGTTTGGTTCTACGGGCGCCATTGGGCATTCTGCATTGTCGTCTCCCTTCCCTCTCTTTCCTCCCATCCTTCCCCCCCTCCTTCCTCCTTCATCCCCGACTCCTCCGTTTCCTCCGTCCCTTCTTTCCCTCGTTCCCTCCCTACCATTGCCTGCTCCTCTGTCTTCCCCTTCCCCTCCCCTTGCTTCTCTCCCCTCTCCTCCTCCTTCTCCTCCTCCTTACTTTTCATTTCAGTTGTAATTTTGGCTCACGCATCTTCCGAATTGCGGCTCGCTCAAGCATGTTCATTTTTCGCGTGCTGTTTTCCAATGTCGTCTGAGACGGCGTTTGTGTCCACATGGCTCCCCCCTTGTGGCTCCGCCACAGCGTGCGACGCGGTTCTGCGGTGGCTCGGGTGCAAAGTCTCGGACTGCTGGTTTGGTCACCATTCCCGTCGGTGAGAGGTCCAATACAGGTGCCTTTCGGAGTGGGCGGCCAGTGTGGACATGGTGCCTCTGGAGCGAGTTCCACGCAGCTGGTGCAAGCCGTGCTCTCGGCGAGCTCGGCGACGTGTGGCCCGGCGTGGAGCGCGCGCTGCTCCTCCTCCTCCTCCTCCTCCTTCCTCCTCCTCCTACTTCTCCTCCTCCTCCCTCCTCCTACTTCTCCTCCTCCTCCTCCTCCTCCTGCTCCTCCTCCCTCCTCCTCCCTCCTCCTCCTCCTCCTCGCTCCGTGTTTTCGGTGGAGCCCGTCCCCAGTTGGCAGCAGCTGCCGGGGCGGCGGCCCCTGCCCCAGGTGAGGGCGCGCGAGCGCGCTGGACGCAGGACAAGCCGGCGCGGCGCTGCGCGCCGCGCTGGCGACGCGCTCACCACAATTGCCCCCTTGCGAGGGCGACGTGCACGTTCGAGAGAGCGGCTGGCCTTCTCGGCGGCCGACGCGCGGGCGGTGCACGGGCGACGAATGCGCGACGCACCCCTTGTCGCGATGGGGGGTGGGGCTCAGCACGCCGGGCGTCTTGCTGAGCCTTAACACTGGCGCGGAGCCGGGGACGGTGCAGCAGCTCCTGGGTGCGGTGACCCCAGCCAGGCGACAGCACTGCGACCGCCAGTGGGCCATCCTCGCGAGGGTCTTGCTGGGGGCGGCTCCACCAGCGCTCCCGCTGCAGGGGCGATGGCGCAGCGGGTCGAGATGCTCGGCGCACGGGGTGGGCGCGGAGGCCAGCGGCGCGTGCTGATGTTTGTCCGCTCCCCACAGCTCGCCGTCGACCTGGTGGCTGGCGCCCGAGGCGTCGCCCGAGCCGCCGCCCGCGCGGGCGTGACGGCTCGGAGTTGGGAGCTGAAGGATTCGCAGTTGCAAGATGTCGTGCGTCCTTTTGTGCGTCCTGTCGTGATGGTGGTGAGGATGATGCTGATTATGGTGATGTAGATGATGATGCTCATGATGATGCTGATTCTGATGATGCTGATGCTGATGCTGAGGATTATGATGATGATGATGATGACGATGATGATGATGATGCTGTTGATGATGAGGATGATGGTGGTGGAGGTGGTCATGATGATGGTGGTGGTGTTGATGATGATGGTGGTGGTGGTGGCGATGATGACGATGCTGATGATCATGATGATGATGGTGATGATGATGATGGTGGTGATGATGATGACGATGATGATGATGCTGATGAAGAGGATGAGGAGGATGAAGAAGAAGAGGAGGAGGAGGAAGAGGAAGAGGACGAGGAAGCGGAAGAGGAGGAGGAAGATCAGGAGGAGGAGGAGGAGGTGGAGGATCAGGAGGAGGAACAGAGGGAGGAGGAGGAGGAGGAAGGGAGGAGGAGGAGGCGGAGGAGGAGGAGGAGGAGGAGGAGGAGGAGGAGGGGGGGAAGAGGATGGAGAGGAGGAGGAAGGGGAGGAGGAGGGGAGGAGGAGGAGGAGGAGGAGGAGGAGGAGGGGGAGGAAGAGGGATGGAGGAGGAGGAGGGCGAGGAGGAGGAGGAGGAGGAGAAGGGAGAGGAAGGAGGAACGAGGAATGAGGAAGAGGAATGAGGAAGGAGGACGGAGGAAGGAGGAAGGACGGAGGAAGGAATGGAGGAAGGAACGGGGGAGATGGATGCTGATGATGCTGCTGATGATGATGCTGTTGATGATGCTGTTGATGATGATGGTGATGATGATGATGATGATGATGATGCTGATGCTGATGATGTTGATGATGAAAAAGAAGAAGATGAGGATGAGGATGAGGAGGAGGAGGAAGAGGAGGAGGAGAAGTAGGAGGAGGATGATCATGGGGAGACGGGGGACCCCTACCGGGCACCCTTCGGGTGTTGCCAGAGGTGGCCCCAGCTTTCACCAGCAGGCCCAGATGGCCTCCGGGGCACCCTCCACGAGGCCCAGAGGACTCCAGGTGCTCCAGTTGGCGCGCAAAGCTGGGGACACCTTGAGCCATGAACAGACTGTGGCAGCCCGCGAATCACAGTTGGAGCTCACCCCAGATCCTGCCTCGTGTGCAGCGTGCCTGCAGCCATGCGTACATTCTCAGTGCTGACCACTCGATGGCGCCGGTGGCATGGATCCGAGGGCCATCTTGTCTTGCCCTGCCTGCCTGCTTGCGGACCCTTCGTCCGTCCCCCGAGCCATCCCGACGGACTTTCAGAGCCCCCCCCGGTGGCGACGAGGTGCCCCCGAAGCTCCCTCCCCGCCAGGAGGGTGGAGCGGAGTGGCCCGAGGGAGCGCCCAGGCCACGACGCCCGACAGCGGCAGCGCCAGCGAGGGCTCCGAGACATTCTCGTTCACGCTCAGGCGGGGAGCCCGCCCCCGTCGGCCCGCCTGCTCTTCCTCTTTTTGTTGTTTGCATGCGCTACCACCGGGAACTCGTAGAGCTTCCTCGATATACATGACTGGAATGCGGGCGCGGCAATCTCGCATTCCGCGCGCGCGATGGCGCGGTTTCATGGAGGAGGACGTGGAGGAGAACAAGGAGTGAGGAGGAGAAGGAGATCGAGGAGGTTGAGGAAGAGAAGGAGGAGGAGAAAAAGGAGCAGGCGGAGAAGGACGATGAAGCAGTCAACGGCCCCCGCGTTGCAGGAGCACTCGGCCGACACGTCCTCCGTCAGCCTTTTGCAGCGGGCCCCCCCCGCTTTCGGGGTGCCTCAGCCCGGCTCTGTTCACGGAGTGGCGCGCCAGCTTGCTCCTGCTCCTTTCGCCTCCCCGCAGCTGCTTTCACAACTTGAAACGCCTGGTCAGAGGTCGAAACATGTTCGCTCGGTCTGACATTGGGCTGCCCTTTGATCGTGGAGCTGCAGCACAATCCGACGGAGTCTCCAGCGAGAGCTTCATTCCGAAACGGCGCCGCCATCCTCACGTGAAGCTCTGGGGAGCTTGCACGACGAATACGCGCGGCGCTAAGGCAAGAGCCACATTTTGAGATCGTCCCGCCCTCCATCCGTGCATACTTTGGGAACTTGTAAGAGGAAGGTGCGCGGCGCCGAGGCGACAACCACATTTTGAAAAGAGCCACCCTTCATTCGTGTGTTTGGTGGGAATATGGAAGACGGGTGTTCAAGACGCTGAGGCGAGAGCCACACTTTGAGAACCATCCACGCTGAATCTTCGAAAACGTTGGATGGTTTAAGACGAGCGTGCGCGAGGCTGAGTCGAGATGCAAGATGTTGATCATGATGAACTCCAACTGAATGCTTTTTGGAAATGCCCAGCTTCACTATCATCATCACTCATTTGGTATTTCGGATCTTTTTCGCGAGTTCTTCTTACTCGATTCGTGATGCGAACGGCGCGCGTGCGAGCAAACAGAGTCGACATCGATTCCCGGGGACGAGCAAGACCACCATGGTGAGGCCATTGCACGATGAACGCCCGTCTCGTCCTGCCGACGTGTTTGGTGGTGCGAGGTGCAGGCCAGAGCCTTCCGACACCAGCCAGCACGCCAGAACCGGCGGGTGTGGCAAGTGCGGACGTTGGCTGCAGTCTCGGTCCTGGGTGGGCCGGCGGCGTGCGGCAGGCAGGGCTCGAGACCACCGTCGTCGCTCGCGTCTCGGTGGGTCCGCGGGCGCTCGGGGCGACACCTGAGCGGGCCTGCGCTCGGGAGAGCGCCCGGGCAGTCGCGCTTCCTGCCCCGGCTGCTCCTGGGGTCGCGGGCCAACGGCCCAGGCACGGCCAGCCCGGTGACCGGTGATCTCGGCACGGGCTGCGTCTGCCAGCGGTGCCGTGGGGATCCCGGGACGTGCAACGCATTTGTTTCGGCCCTGCGCCCGTCAGCAGGCCAGTGCCCAGTCGGACAAGTGCCGGGTGACTCCCGAAGAGGAAGGCGTCTGAGGGTACGGCTGGGGATGGAGGCAGGTCAGGATGTTCAGGGAGAGCAGCGGGAGAAGAAGTAGGTGTACGTATGAGGCGGGAGGATCGGGGGGAGACGAGGACGCAGGCAGGAGGCTGGATGATGAGGCTGGATGGGCATGAGGATGGGGATGGGGATGAGGATGAGGATGAGGGTCAGATGATGATGATGATGATGATGATGATGATGATGATGATGATGATGATGATGATGATGATGATGATGATGATGATGATGATGATGATGATGATGATGATGATGATGATGATGATGATGCTGATGATGCTGCTGCCTGAGATGATGATGATGATGAGAGGAGGAGGAGGAGGAGGAGGAGGAGGAGGAGGAGGAAGAGGAGGATGAGGAGGAGGATGAGGAGAGAAGAGGAGGAGGAGAATAATATTCGGAGGAGGAGGAGGAAAGGAACAGCAGGAGGCAGGAGGAGGGACGAGGAGGAGGAGGAGGAGGAGGAGGAGGAGGAGGAGGAGGAGGAGGAGGAGGAAGAGGAGGACGAGGAGGAAGAGGAGGAGGAGGAGGAGGAGAAGGAGGAGGAGGATGGAGGATGAAGCAGGATAATGGAAGATGATGAGGATGGAGGATGGAAGATGGATGTATGGACGGAGGAGGATGGAGGATGAAATATCATGTAGGACGAGCTCACTGCTGCAGCCCGCAGGCGTGCCCCCGACGTGCCACTGGGCCTCGAGGTGTGCGGCGACGACGGCCACCCTGGCCTCACGGCGGGGCCCTCTAATGGCCACAGGAGCGGACCGCTGATCCTCGGAGGTTCTCGGCAGGTCCTGTGCTCCGCTCGGACGACGCCGACGTCCGTCCAGGAGCTCGAGCGTCAGCACGTCCTCTTCCCCTCTCCGCCCTCCTCCATTCTCCATCTTTCCCCCTCCATCCTCCATCCTCCATCCTCTATCCTCCATCCCTCCACCATCCTCCGTCCTCCATTCTCCATCCTCCATCCTCCATCCTCCATCCTCTATCCTCCACCCTCCATCCTTCACCCTCAACCTTCAATCATCCATCCTCTATCCTCCGCTCCGCCCTCCTCCATCCTCCATTCTCCATCCTCCATCCTCCACCTTGCCCCATCCTCCTCGGCCGGCTTGTTTTTCCGCTCCTCCCTGATCTTGATATTGTAGCTTTCTTCCTGCTCGCGCCGCGGCGCCACCGCCCAGCCCCACGGTAGGGCCGTCCCGCGGGACGAACGGGCGCGTCCAGTGTTTGGTGGCGGCACAGGGCCCTCGGGTGTAGCTTGGCCCTTCCGGTCTTACCAAGCACGGTGGGGGCGTTGGCTATGGAGTGTGCCCAGGAGGCTTCAGGCCCCTGGGGATTGAGGGCCGCGGCAAGATCCATGGCTGAGCCTCAATGGGTGTTCCGCTGGCTTCCAGACCCTGGCTTCCTTATATCCAATGTTTCCTCAATGACTGCCCTCACCGTGCTCCACCTGTGCCCGCCCGCCTCTTCCGCCGCGCCCGACGCACCGAGGTCAGGGCCGTCAGGCCGGGTGGCGCGGTGGAGGCCTGGAACCGGCAGATGCCGGCCGGGGATCGGCGGGAAGTCCGGGTCGGCGACCACATCGTCAAGGCGACCTCGTCCTCAGGATTGCGGAGGATTGGGGAGGGGGAGGAGGAGGATTGGGGAGGAGGAGGAGGATTGGGGAGGAGGAGGAGGAGGAGGAGGAGGAGGAGGAAGAGGAGTATGAGGAGGAGGATGAGGATAGAGTAGTTATGGATGAGGAGGATGGTGTAGGAGGAAGCAGGGCGGCGGAGGGTTGACTACGATGATGGTTTTGATGAGGATGTCGATTCAGATGGTGATCATGATGGTGACTATGGTGTCGCTGAAGCTGATGAGGATGATGCGGATGATGCTGCGGCTGTTGATGCTGATGCTGATAACGATGATGTTGTTCTAGCTGTTGTTGATCATGCTGATTGCGATGATGGTAATGAGATGGTGATGGTGATTGTGATGGTTGTGGTAGTGGTTACGGTGATGGTGATGGCTGTGTTGCTGGTTGTGGTGACCGTCGTGGTGCTGTGAGGATGGTCTGGCTGCTGCTGATGTTGCCGCTGATGACGATGATGCTGATGCTGATGTTGATGATGCTGATGCTGCTAATGATGATGCTGATGCTGATGATGAAGGTGGCAATGCTGTTGATGATGCTGATATTGGTATTGTTTGTACTGCTGCTGATGATGCTGATGCTGATGATGCTGGCGATGATGATGCTGCTGCTGCTGATGATGATGATGATGGTGATGGTGATGGCGATTGTAATGGTGATGGTGGTGATGCTACTGCTGATGATGATGCTGATTCTGATGTTAATGTTGACGTTGTCGATGATGATGATTCTGGTGATGATGATGCTGATGGTGATCGTGGTTCTGTTGCTGCTCATACTGATTTTGGTGTTGTTGCTGCTGATGATGGTAATGATACTGATGCTGATGATGTTGATTATGATGATGATGTTGATGCTGATGATGGTGATGATGGTGATGGTGATGGCGACGGCGATGGTGATGGTGGTGATGCTGCTGCTGATGATGATGCTGATGATGATGCTGATTTTATTGATACTGCTGTTGATCATGATGATGCTGGTGCTGGTGATGCTGATGCTGATGATGATGCTGCTGACTATGACGATGATGGCGACGATGACGATGCTGACGATGCTGATGATGCTGATAATGCTGATTATGCTGATGATGCTGATGCTGCTGATGATGATGCTGATTATGATGACGATGATGCCGATGAGGTTGATGATGATGCTGATGACGATGATGCTGCTGATGATGATGGTGTCGACGAGTATGCTGATAACGGTAACGATACTGATGATTCACATTATGATTAGCGTGGTGACGGTGATCAAGATGTGGAGGATGACGGCGGCAGTGGCGACGATGACTACGATGATGAGGAGGGGGTGGTGGAGGAGGAGGATGAGGAGGATGAGGTTGAGGATTAAGAGCAGGATGGGCACTGAGAGGAGGGGCATGAAGAACATGAGGAGAGTGACAGAGCGAGAGCGAGAGAGAGAGAGAAAGAGAGAGAGAGAGAGAGAGAGAGAGAGAGAGAAAGAGAGAGAGAGAGAGAGAGAGAGAGAGAAAGAGAGAGAGAGAGAGCGAGATAGAGACGGAGAGAGAGAGAGAGAGAGAGAGCGAGACAGAAAGAGTGATAGAGATAGAGAGAGAGATAAATAACCAAAGTTCAGGAACGATGCAGGAACGCCAGCCGAGGAGGAGCAAACATGAAGGAGGAGGAGGAGGAGTGGGAGGATGGGGGATGATGATGATGATGATGATGATGAGGAGGAGGAGGAGGAGGAGGAGGAGGAGGAGGAGGAGGAGGACCAGGAGGACGAGGAGGAGGAGGTGGAGGCGAAGGATGATGATGCTGATGATGATGATGATGAGGAGGAGGAGGAGGAGGAGGAGGAGGAGGAGGAGGAGCAGGCGGAGGAGGATGTTGAGGTGGAAGCGGAGGCGGAGGAGGAGATAGCGGCAGTGACGACGATTACTACGATGATGAGGATGGAGTGTCGGAGGAGGAGGAGGTGGAGGAGGATTCTGATAATGAGGAGGAGGAGGTGGAGGAGGAGGAGGTGGAGGAGGAAGATGAAGAGGAGGAGGAGGAGCAGGAGGAGGAGGAGAGCAGGAGCAGGAGGAGGAGGAGAGGAGGAGGAGGAGAGAGGAGGAGGAGGAGGAGGAGGAGGAGGAGGAGGATAGGAGGAGGAGGAGCAGCAGGAGGAGGAGGAGCAGGGTCCGTAGCCAATTTGGTTCAAGTTCGAACCCGGGGTCTCGAGCTTACAGGTTTCCGCAGTGTGCGACAAACATCACGGGGGCGCCCAGACGCTGCACTCGTCAGGCGCGCCAAAGGCTCGCTGCCCAACCATTAGTCCCTCGGCCCGCGGCTGACTCAGAGTATAAACGGTGCTATCGCTGTGGATCGGACCTACCCCGTGTGCGTCAGTCTCCCGCTCCTCCTTCCGAAAAGGTGTATGGGCAGGTCATGGATGAGGTGGATAGGGGTGGAAGGGTGACGGCGACGCAGGTGGTGGCAAAGGTGGCAAACGAGGCAAAGGTGACACAGGAGGACGTGGCAAAGGACGTGGAGGAGGAGGATCTTGGAAAGGAGGTCAGGACCTTCCGCCCCGACGTGACGGGGCCCGAGATGCTCAGAATGAGCTCCATCGTGTCTTTCAGATCTCCCAGGGGCCCAACAATCCGTATCCTCCAGATGTGGCCCAAGCATTGGCCTCTGCATGGGGCTCACATTGCGAGGCCAAGAGGGCTTCAACTCCAGCCAGCAACATATTACAAACAACAAATCAAGACAGAGTCCAAGCTTGCCCGCCTACGGACCCAGCGTGATGATGTATTGCAGCAGATTGAGGAGCTCCAGGGTGAGGCCCTCGCTATTGAGGGCAAGCTCGAGCATGAAGAGGGAGAGCTATTGGAACTCACGCGCGCGAATGAGCTGGCCCCGGTTGCCGCGCCCCAGGAATTCATTGATCCGATCCGCCAGCTTCTCGCTCCTCTCGCGCAACTGGTGCCTGCCATTCCCCAAAAGAGCAGGCAAAGTCTGTCCTGCACGGCCAGTGGCAGAGGGCTAAGAGCATCGTCTCGCCCTCACCTCCTCCAGTTGATGCGGCGGAAGTCTCTTTGGGCTTGGCAGATCGGCGTGGGCAGGGAGGTAGAGCAGGAGCAGCACAATCAGCAGGCCCAGGAGGTGTCGGAGGGGCCCCTGCTGGAGGATCTGCAGCAGCATCGGCAGGAGGAGCAGATCCAGCAGGCAAAATGGAAGTGGATGAGGCAGAGCTACTCGGTGCTTTTCGTCAGGCAACGGCTTCTGAATCCGATGAGCGTAATCTCGCCGAGGCTTTTCGTATCATCAAGTGGGCCAAGCTTGCAGCAGCCAGCGCCCCGCACCCTCGGCTTGAATGGGATACGCCAGGAGATGAGCCCGACGGTTGATCCAGCTGTCCCTGAGAAGTTGGGTCACGGCCGAAAGGCGTGGCTGGAGGTTCGTTGGACATGGCCTTGGCTCTTCATGGCGATAGAGACTCTCTGAGCAAAGCGGTGGGCATCTTAAAGCGCTACGCCAAGGAATGGTGGCAATCCTCCGACCCAGACCTGGTGCAAGCAGACGGCCTCGGCGAACGGGGGCTTACTCGTGCGTTCCATCCCGCGCGTGCGCATCTGGGGAGGACGCCGCAGTCGCCGTCCTGGATGCGCAAAGTGCCGAGGCCCATGTCCGACATGCGCCTGCGGCTTCGGAGGGCGGGCTGGGAGCAGGTACATCCAGCGCTGCTTGTGGGGGCTGACGCGGCTCATCCTCACGTGGCCGCTGCCCCTCCGGCCGCTGTCGCCAAAGCTTTCACGGGGTCTTCGTGACACAGGCAACAGTTTTTCAAGCCGGCGATCTCCAGGGCGCGCTCTGTTGTGGTTGTTGGCGACACGGTGCCTTTGCCGTGGACGCCCTCGGCCGGAGGCCGAGAAAGTAGTTAGAGGCGCGCTCTGAGGCCCGGGGTCCTCCTCGGGCCCAGGATGTGTTTTGTTGTGTGTGTTTTTTTCCCAGGCGTGTTTTTTCCCACAGTGTTTTTTTTGTTCCCACTTTTTTTTTTTTTTTTCCCATGCGATCGAGGCCTCCGGTCCCCCAGGGGCCGTGCCGCCTGCCGGCTCGCAGGTCCTTCCCGACGTGCCGTGGGCGCACTCTTTTGCGCAGGTTCTCGCGGGCCGACGCCCCGCGGGCCGCGCTTCGGAGCGCCAGGGGTGCGAGACGGATGGTCGTTGCCCCAAGTGTGGCGCTACAGTCGGGGCCCTGAAAAAGGAACCCTTTTCGTTTGGGGGGGGCTCCGTGTCCCTCAAGTGTTTCGCAGCTCGCCTCAGGTTTTCCCTAGGTTTTCGATGCGAGATCGAAGTTCAACTTATGGAAAATAGGGGCCTCGTTCCTTATTCAGGGTTCCTTAGGTCAAGGCCCCGACTGTATGGGTTCCCTCTCCCAGGGGGCCTGGGAGCGTTCCTGGCGCGAGGCAGGCAGGGGAGGCCAGGGCGAAGAGATTGGAGCGCTGGCATTGTGCCGCCGGCCTGCTGACCCCCTCTTTTCCCCCCTCTGGATGGCCCCCCCTCCTGTCGCCAGCAGGCCCGTGGAGGAGCCAGAAAGTTGTTGCTTTGTCTCGAGTGGTCTTGTCGAGCTGCTCCAGTTTCAGAGAGCCAGCGCGAGACATTACAGCTGCCAGAAAGTTGTTGCTTTGTCTCGAGTGGTCTCGTCGAGCTGCTCCAGTTTCAGAGAAAGCCAGCGCGAGACATCACAGCGATGGCTCATGCTCCGATGGTTCTGTACCGTTCGCTGCGAGAGCGGGGTGGGCAGTTGCGGGGTGCTGTGAGTCAGGGGAGTTGATCCGGGGGGTCCGATGGGGGGCCACACGCGAACCCTACCCCCACCCCCCACGATTTCGGAGGGGGAGGGTGGGGCTCACTTCGCTCCAGAGCTCCCAGACGAAGGGAACCCCGCCCTCCCCCTCAGAACTCGTGGGGGTAGGGGTAGGGTTCGCATGTGGCCCCCTAGAGGGGCGATGGAGGGCGGGGGCAGAGCGGAGGCGGCGAACAAGGAATGAACAAGGCGACGACGAAGACGACGGAGCAGAGTGCGACCGGGACAACGCGAAGCAAAAACATACAGAAGCGATGACAGGGAGGAGGAGGAGGAGGAGGAGGAGGAGGAGGAGGAGGTGGAGGAGGCGGAGGAGGAGGAGGAGGAAGGAGGAGGAGGAGGAGGAGGAGGAAGGGGAGCGAGGGCGACGACGGGGCAGGCTCCGCGCGTGGCCCCCTGTCCGGGGACCCGTCCCAGCCGTGGTGCCCCAGGCAGCTTCAGCGGCCGAGCGCCGCGCTTCGCGTGCACGTTTTTGAGATGCGCCTGGGGCCCTTGGGGCCCTCGGGCTCGGGCCCTGGCCCCCGGCCAGTCTTTGCCAGCCAGCTTCATGATGCTCCAACATACACTTTAGCCTTTGACCTCTGGCAGCTTTGTGATGCTCCAGCCTACCTTGGCCTTGCTGGTTTGTCTGTTTAGTATTGCTCCTTTTGGTCTGGTTCTTCTTGCTCTTCCTCTTCTCCTTCTCCTCCTCCTAGAGTCGGCAGCAGGTCCCCGCGCGCGTGGACGCGTGCGGCGGCAGGGCGTCCGCGGCGCGGGTGCTCGCGCGGTTCCGTCGGCACTGCTCCGCTCCTGAAAAACAAATTTAGCCTTGACCACCAGGAAGAAGTTCGAGCGCCCAAAAAAGTACTGAAACTCAAGGGTTTTCACGTGCCGGGGCCTGGGAGACACGGCTTCGACACTGTTTCGACACTCTTCTGACACTTTTCTGGGTGCTCGAAATTATTTCTGGGATGCGGTCCTTAAGTAGGACGGGAACAACATAACGCCAGCTTCAAAATTGTATTGCGTTCATATTGCCGAGCGGTTGCGTGGGGGGCTGAAAATCACCCTCGTTGCAAGAAGCGCTCGTCGCCGCGCGCTGGATACTGGCGAGTTCTTGGGCGCCCGACACACTCAGGTTTGAAGATGCAGGCCCACCTCGAGGAGGAAAATGTTAGGTCAGAGATAGATTTATAACCACATTAAGGGCGGTGGGTGGACTGGCCGCGCCGCCAAGCAAGTAGCTATCGCTAGCAGCATGTGCCTTCAGGACCTGAAGGCCTTGGACGATGCTCAGAAGCTTTGTAGGCGTGTTGCCGCAAACATGTGTCATATTCTAAAAGCGCGGCCCCCTCTTCGAGAGTTGTGCGGGGTTTTGCTTATAATTGCGCGTGCAACAGCCTTGCCCCCTTCCTCCATGCCCCATGCCCCGAGTTGGGGCAACCGCGGGGGATGTTGGCGATACCGACAATGCCATCGCCGAGGGGCCAGGTTGCTTGCGAACTCCAGGGGCGCGCCGTTTCCGCCGTCGCTGTCTGATTTGATCCAGAGTATCGGAAGCAACCTACGCGCACCAGCTGTGGGTCTCAATCAACGAAGGCACTCAGCTCCCTTTGATTTTTTGACAAGAGGTGTGGATGCATGGCAGGTGTTCGAACGAATCGGCTTCGAGGGCCTTGCCTGCCTTGTGCCTCCTCTCTCAAGGATTCGTCGAAGATGAAGCGGGGTATCTTACCGGGCGGGCCAGGACAGAAGCTATCCCCCACATGGCCCGTCGAATTGGACCCGCCGCCCTTTGATGTTTCTACCCCCGCCCCCTCTCGTTTTTTCCTGGCGCTAACGGATGCGAGGAGCCCTTGAGCAGTGTTTGTTTGTTGTCGTCAGGTGGGGCCTCTGGTCGACCTGGACCCGGTTTTTTAAAAGAGGAGGAGGAATAATAATACTTCACATCGTAAGACAAGTAGCGAAACATGGGCATCGCAATCAAACTCATAATGGTAATAACCAAATTGACCATCATTATATAATTCAACTACCAATAGTGTTACTTTTTACTAGTAAGAGGGCGAACCATAATAATAATAAAATTACGAAGCATATACTAATCCAAAAATGTTACCACTTCTACGACTATTAATATTAGTATGAGTTTCAGTAGTATCCATCATCGTAACATCAATATCAATATGAATATACATACGATTTAAAGTACTTGTAAACCATACGGCCGATCACGTTAGCAGTATTAAATTTGTTAAGGTAATACTCAGAATGCAGATATTCATAATTCTATCGTTAACACTCATATTACAATAAGACGAATACGAATGAGAAACACAGTACGACAATATCAATAATAAACATAAGCGGGTAATAACTCTAATACGTGTAATAGTAGACACAGTAATCGTGATACTGACAGTACTACCAATAATATTCATACTCATAGACATATCAGCAATACGTAAAGTGTTACTAAGCACCAAAATAATATGATGATGACAATAATAATACTGATAGTAATCGTAATAGTATTAGTACTAGTAATAGTAACAGTAATAGTAATAGTAATAGTAATAGTAATCGTAATAGTAATATTAATAGTAGTATTCATAGTAATAGTAATGTAATAGTATTAGTAATCGTAATCGTAATCGTAATCGTAATCGTAATCGTAGTCGTAATAGTAATAGTAATAGTAATAGTAATAGTAATAGTAATAGTAATAGTAATAGTAATAGTAATAGTAATAGTAATAGTAATAGTAATAGTAATAGTAATAGTAATAGTAATAGTAATAGTAATAGTAATAGTAATAGTAATAGTAATAGTAATAGTAATAGTAATAGTAATAGTAATAGTAATAGTAATAGTAATAGTAATAGTATAGTAGTATAGTAATAGTAATAGTAATAGTAATAGTAATAGTATAGTAATAGTAATAGTAATAGTAATAGTAATAGTAATAGTAATAGTAATAGTAATAGTAATAGTAATAGTAATAGTAAAGTAATAGTAATAGTAATAGTAATAGTAATAGTAATAGTAATAGTAATAGTAATAGTAATAGTAATAGTAATAGTAATAGTAATAGTAATAGTAATAGTAATAGTAATAGTAATAGTAATAGTAATAGTATAGTAATAGTAATAGTAATAGTAATAGTAATAGTAATAGTAATAGTAATAGTAATAGTAATAGTAATAGTAATAGTAATAGTAATAGTAATAGTAATAGTAATAGTAATAGTAATAGTAATAGTAATAGTAATAGTAATAGTAATAGTAATAGTAATAGTAATAGTAATAGTAATAGTAATAGTAATAGTAATAGTAAGTAAGTAAGTAGTAATAGTAATAGTAATAGTAATAGTAATAGTAATAGTAATAGTAATAGTAATAGTAATAGTAATAGTAATAGTAATAGTAATAGTAATAGTAATAGTAATAGTAGTAATAGTAATAGTAATAGTAATAGTAATAGTAATAGTAATAGTAATAGTAATAGTAATAGTAATAGTAATAGTAATAGTAATAGTAATAGTAATAGTAATAGTAATTGTAATAGTAATAGTAATAGTAATAGTAATAGTACTAGTACTAGTACTAGTAATAGTAAACCTAATCTTACAAATAACAAATTGTAGTCATGATATCAATCGTAGAAAGGAGGAGGAGGAGGAGGAGGAGGAGGAGGAGGAGGAGGAGGAGGAGGAGGAGACGTTGAGAAAGAGGATGGATGCGAAACCGACCGAGGAGGCGGGGGCTTCCGCTCGCGCCAAGAGAGGTGCGGTATCGGCGGGTCGTCGGGGCGCCCCGCCCGCGAGTGCTCTCACGCGCCGGTGGCCTGCGGCGGCCCTCGGAGGTGAACGACGCGCAGGACGCGAAGGATATGCGAGACGAGTGCGTCAGAGCGACCCTGCTCAGGACGCGAAGGGAGGGAGGGAGGGAAGGAGGGAGGAGGATGAGGAGGAGGAAAAGGAGGAGGAGGGGGGTCTTGCTGTCGCTGCCCTACCTCATGCTGGTGCTCGCGCTGAAGTTCAGGGGGCGTGGGGGGCGAAGCGCAAGCCACCCCGCCTTGCGAGGAGGAGGGGGAGGAAGAGGAGGAGGATGGATGGATGGATGGATGTGCGGATGAATGGATGAACGGATGGATGGATGCATGGATGGATGGATTGGTGCATTGATGGATGGATGAATGGATGGATAATGGATGGGGAGGAAGAGGAGGAAGAGGAGGAGGAGCAGGAGGAGGAATAGGAGGAGGATGAGGCCGGAGGAGGAATTATGAGGTTTTTGTTGTTGATGATGATGAGGAGGAGGGGCGAGAATAATGTGTGTGGAGGGGAGGAGGATTAGGAGGAGGAGGGGGAGGAGGAGTAAGAGGAGGAGGAGGAGGATGATGATGATGAGGGAGATGATGATGATGATGAGGAGGAGGAAGAGGTGAAATATGTGAAGAGGAGGAAGCCCAGGACGTGTCTGGGGCGGGAGGGGTTGTGGGTGTTGGGTGGGTGGAAGGTTTGTCGTTCTGGCTCCCAATGGGCCTCCGAATACTTCGGTGAGCATCGTTTATGGTGATGCTGGTAATGATGACGATGGTGATGATGCGGCTGACAGGAATGACGACCACGATTAGACGACCGTGATGACGAAGACGACGCTATTGATGGTAATCGTGAAGACGTTGGTGCCGATGACGGCGATGAGTACGCTGGGCATCATGGTGTTGCTGTGGACGTTGGTGGCGACCACGGTGATGATGGCTGTGATGCGGATAATGGTGTTGAGGGTGGGTGCGTCTATGATACGTATCATGCCGCTGTGTGCTGATGCTGACTGCGACGGCATGATGATCTTAGTGATGGCGTTGGCGGCGGGATTCATCGTAATGTGGATGAATATTATGGCGAGCACGGCGATGATGATGATGATGCTGATGCTGATGCTGATCTTGCTGATGATGACGATGATGATGAGTCTGATGATGATGCTGTTGATGCTGATTATGATGAGGGTACTGCTGCTGACGATGATGAGGACGATGAAGAAGACATTGACGTTGCTACTGATGTTGCCGATGCTGATGCTGGTGGTGATGCTGCTGCTGGTTCGGGTACTTTTTACGATGCCGATGCCTGTGCTGATGTTGATAGTGCTGATGATGATGGTGATAATCATGCTGCTGATTTTTAGAATTGATGCTTATGATGATGACCACTGGTGAACGTGACGATTCTTGTTACAGCGATGATGGTACCGATCACGAGAATGACGACGGCGATGACGATGAAGATGGCGATCGAGCTGCGGACTATGAGGTTGATTGTGATGACGACGGCGACGACGACGATGATGCTGCTGCTGATGATCATTTTGAGGCTTCGATGATGCTGATGCGCATGAGGGTGATGTTGATGAGAGTTATCATGCTGTTGAGGATGATGGAGCTGATGACGACGATTATGATGATACTGGTGATTATGATGATGCAGCTGATGATGATGATGATGATGATGATGATGATGATGATGATGATGATGATGATGCAGCTGATGATGATGATGTTGATTGTTGTGGTGGTACTGGTGATGGTGAGCAGTCATATAAAGATGATGATGATGACCATCATGACGATGATGATGACGCTGATGCAGCTTCTGATGATTATTATGATGATGGTGATGATGATTATCATGATTGTGACAATGACGAGGATGGAGATGACCATGCATCCGAATATGAAGATGATGCTGAGGACGATGGTCGTGGTTATGCTGATTATGCTTCTGCTGCTGCTGATGAGGATGATTGTGATGCTGATAGTGATGATGATGTCATGTTGATGATGATGATTCTGATGATGCTGATAATGCTGCTGAGGATAATGATGCTGTTGATGAAGATCATGATGAGGATCCTGATGATGCTGATGCTGATGATACTGATGATGATGTCGATAATGACGATGCTGCTGATGCTGATGATGAGGATGCTGCTGATGGTGATGATGATGCTGATGTTGATGCTGATGCTGATGTTGATGCTGATGCGCTGATGATGATGATGCTGATGATGATGATGATGATTCTGGGGATGATGACGCTGATGATGATGATGATGATGATGATGATGATGATGATGATGATGATGATGATGATGATGATGATGATGATGATGAGGTGGAGGAGGAGAAGGCGGAGGAGGAGGGACAAGAACACGGGGAGTGGTAGCAACAGGAGGAGAGCGCCCGAACAGGTTTCAGGAGTGCTCTGAGAGAGTGGAGGTCACAGGACGGGCCCGCGAGGCCCTTGGAGGCCCAAGGACGGCTTCAGGGGAAGGCGATGCTGAGGAAGAGGCGATTGATGATGATGATGATGATGATCAGGAGGAGGAGGAGGAGGAGGAGGAGGAGGAGGAGGAGGAGGAGGAGGAGGAGGAGAGGGGAAGGCGATGCTGAGGAAGAGGCGATTGATGATGATGATGATGATGATCAGGAGGAGGAGGAGGAGGAGGAGGAGGAGGAGGAGGAGGAGGAGGAGGAGGAGGAGGGCGAGGAGGATGATGACGAGGAGGAGGAGGAAGAGGAGAAACAGAAGGAAGAGGAGGAGAAGGAGGAGGAAGAGGAGGAGTTGGACGGCGCGGCGGAGGAGGAGGAGGAGGAGGAGGAGGAGGAGGAGGAGGAGGAGCAGGAGGAGGAGGAGGAGTGGTAGAAGTCAAGTTGGCCAGGTAGAGCGAGTCATGGGGCCCCGTCCACTCCCCCGCTCCCCGCCACAACAGAGTTACCAGCTGTGTTGCAGCTTGATGTCGGGATTGGAGCGCGGCCCCACCTCGCACGCGGGAGGTGCTCGCGCGCGGCCCCGCTGAAACATTGCAAACACATCTTTCACTCAAGGAAAGGATCGTGTCCGTTGGCATCGCATCCACAACATGCGCCGCACAAGCGTGGCGGCGTTTGGGCGAGGTCGGCATTTCGGCGGCTGTCGCTCCCATGCGCTCCGGCGATCGAACCAATGCGCCGCGCCCTCGCGGGATCCGAGCGAAAATGCGCACGGAACTTGGGCGAGGGCGACAGATCGCCCGTTGGCGCGGTCCTCCCGGATTTCATGGCTTTCCTTCTCCTCTTCCCCTCGCTTCGCCCTGTTCCCGGCGCGGCACCGATACGTTTCGGTGTAAACTCATATCGTCTTTACCGCCCGGACTTCCGCCCCCCTCCCCGTCCGCTCGCCTGGGCCATGTGTGGCACGGGGAGCTCCTCTTTCAGTGGCCGTCCTTCGCGGGGGGCGGACTCTGTCAGCCCAGGCGGGCACCACCTGCAGGCGGCGCAGGGTTTGTAGCAGCACCGTCGGAGCTTCGCGGTGGTTCTCCATCTCCAGGACGGAAAAAAACACAGGCAAAATTCACCGCCGATTCCCCAGCAAATATGTGAAGCCATGGGAAGCGGGGGGGAAGATGAACATCCAAAACATATAAGAAAATATAGAGAACTCTAGGATTTGTGTGTATTCATTTGTGTGTCCCTGGGCCCCTCCACATCTCCGCCCTCTGAAAATAGAGTCGGAGGTTGATGGACCTCCTACCCCGACGCGTCGACTAGAGAATTGGCCGTTTTCGGTTCGCGAGAGGGCGTCGCGGCCGCTATTTTTGCGGGTCCAGGTCCGTCGGTTTCGGTCCTGGGCCGTTTTCACGAAAGGGTGGTTTACGAAAGGGAGGTTTGTCCAACGCCGAGTGAGCGCCCCCCCAAATCGGCGAGTGGAAAGTAGATGCCCCGCCGAGGCGAGAGCACCATTTCCAGGCGAAATCCGCGCGGCCCCGGGGCGAGAGCAGCATTTTCGCCCTCTCGCGCGTCGGCGAAGCTGCGTGCGGGATTTTTTGTGCCGCGCCTCAGCGGGAGTGCAATTCTCTAGCAGAATGAGCGCGGCGCCAAGGCGAGAGCGACATTTCGGACTTTCGCGCGGGATGCACGCCCTGTCCCACTCCTGCCACGCATTCTGCAGCGCGGACGGCATAATGTCAATATTGGAACGAAAAGCATTGATTATGTACTGTTCCCAATCATTCTGTGGTGCTGGGTCCTCGTTTTGAAGAGACAGAGCGCCCCGAGTCCTCATGCTCTCCTCCTCCTCTCCTCTCCTCCTCTCCCTCCTTCCTTCTCCCATCCCATCCGTGTCTTTGCCTTCCGCACCAGTCAGATTTCGGCACACAACTGACACGTTTCGTGGCCCCAGAGGGGGCTCCACCGAAGGCCCCAATGGCAAATTCGCATGGCGGCGCCGCCCCATTTCGGCTCACCCCTCACACGCGTCGTGGCCCCCATAGGGAGCTCCAACGAAAGCCTCAGTGGCAAAGTTCGCATGGCGCAGCCGCTCCATTTTGGCGCACCCCTCACACGGTTCGTAGCCTCTTTGGGGGGTTCCACCGAAGGTCCCAGTTGCAGGGTTCGCATGGCGGCGCCGCCCCATTTTGGCGCACCGCTCACACGTTTCGTGGCCCTATGGGGGGATTCCACCGAAGGCCCCAGTGGCAAAGTTCGCATGGAGGCGCCTCCCAATTTTTGCGCACCATCACATGGTTCATGGCCCAATAGGGAGCTCCACCAAACGCCCTTGTGGTAAACTTCGCACGGCGGCGCCACCACATTTTTTCGTACCTTTCACACGGTTCGTGACCCCATGGGGAGCTCCATCGAAGGCCCCAATGGCAAATTTCGCATGGCTTTGCCCCGCCCCATTCCGGCGCACCCCTCACATGGCTCGTGGCCCCATAGGGAGCTCCACCGAAGGCCTGGGGGGCGGTGCCGTGCCGAAGTAAAGCGTTCGGGGCAGAGGGGGCGCGCTGGCTGGTCGGACCGGCGCCGTGCCGAAATAAAGCGGTCGGGGCGGAACGGGCGCGCTGGCTGGTTGATAAAGAAGTCGGGGCGGATCGGGTGC